AATACTAATAAAAAATTGCAAGTAATTCACTGAATAGAAGTTAATTCTAAAAATTTGAAAAAAAATTGTACCTTACAGTGCCTGTACCGTACGTACCTTTAAAAGTAGCTGTACCGTACGTACTTAAAGCCCTGTACCGTACGTACTTGCCATCTAAGAGAAAAACGTCAAGTTTTACGGCAGATTTGTGACATAGACTCATAGAGTAACATGACTTGATTGATTGCTTCCTCGATCGGTGTATATGTGATAACCAAGTAATATGTGGGTTTCCAAGATTTCGTGTGGAATGTTTCAACGTACTGTGCAGTTAGTAGTAACATTAATAACAAGATTTATAACAAGATTTGCGTTTTGAATGATTAATTAGCGTCCCATTTAAATTTATCGTTTATTCCAGGCCGGTATGAAGATATTAAAAACGACGATCTTACCTACCGTCTTGACTGGTGCCCTCATCTTGTACTTCTATCAAATCCTTTACTTTATCCCATCCTCTAAAGATCAGTTTAGCCCGGAAGTTAGATTTCAAATTGACATCAAAGATTTTAACGGAAATAAACATCGTGTTATTGAAAGGGCAGCAATTGAAATAGCAAACAGCACTGACTATTTGTGGAAAGATAAGATTTTGAAAAAGCATTTCATGGTCATTTTCATACCGTCAATGCCTGAGTCACAAGCATTTCGCCATCTTTTGCGGACTAAATGGCTAAATATGTCATCTTGGGGAAGCCACGAATTTGAGGGAGTTGATCATAAATATTTGGACTTTAAACTGATGTTCGTTATTGGGAAGGAAACGAATGGTACCTATTCAGATGATTTCATAAAGGAAATGTCAATATACGATGACATACATCTTATTGACTTGGTAGAAAGTAAACGTATTCTGAAGGAAAAAGTTTTCTTGGCCATGAAGAAAAGCGTTGAGCTGTTCGACTACAAGTATTTCATAAAAATCGACCATGACACACTTGTTGATCTTCCAAATCTTGCCAAAGGAATCCAAACCCTGCCTGAGGAAAATATCTACACTGGGGCTTGTACCTCGAAAATAGCTAACGGAAAATATAAAAAGACGTTCAGGTACTGTGTGGGCGGAGCCTACATTCTTTCACGAGATCTCGTTGAAAAGATAGCATCATTGACCGAGGATGAGACAACAGTCAGACTCCGGCCAGAGGACGGGTACACTGGGTGGCTAGTTGCTGAGGTTAAACGGAAGTTCAACATCTCTAACACCCTCCCTCAAGTTACCAGACATGTCGTTAAAGCATTCAACCACAAAATTGGAGTTTATTTTTTCAATGACTGGTTCTATCACTGGCTTAAAAGTGTCAACGATTTAGAGCGAGCATTTACGTGCAGAGTAAACGCCAATTTAACTCGTTGTCCTTTGTTGAATTATTTTTACGAAAACGTAAATTCCACGAGCTGTATATGTGGAGCTAAGTGGAATTAAAGCTGAAGTAGAATAGTTTTCTGTTCAACAACTTACCTATGGAGAACCCGGCGAATGTCCTTGCTGTACGGCAGTGTTAAACAAGGAACTGAAATCAAGGGGTTCCGTTCAGGCCCTTCACACTTTGTTTCTGTCTAGTTCTAATGTACCGTCACAAAAGTGACTTTAATATAAGGTTACCATGGTAACAATAGTGACTTAAATATACTCCTTCATCATATCTTACTATATATAAAGCGAGACGATATATATATATCTGTGCCATTTTACTGACACCACGGCATCAACTTTAACGCGACTTTCCGCATAAACCGTAAAAGATATACAACTGGAACTTTTTTGGCTGGGTCAAATGCTTCAATGGCCTTCAAATCAGCATGAAAAAATAAAAAATTGGTCAAGGAATAATGATTTTAGAGCCGAAAATTTGGACCCCCAAGTGGTGTCAAAAACGCCAATTAAATAGGTAATAATTATTTTAGTATTTTGAGTCTTGACACCGTTTAGGGTTATATTATACGGGTTCCTGCTAGTGACTTTAATATATCTCAAAGTAGCTGTTTATGATTTCAATATTATTGTGTGCGTTATATTAAGGGGGCATAAACCAAACCCGAACTTTATCATTTGACCAGGGATTTGACTTTATATTCGGAAAATATAGAAAATGATTGTAGTTGTAACTTGTTTCAAGATTTTACTGAAATTTCTGCCTTTAGCTTTCTACGTTCTTTATGAAAAGGAACGTTGATGGACATTTAAATAGTGAAAACTGAAAAGCGAAACTTCAGCTACCTCCCACTCATACTGTTTAGCTAGCAGCTTCATTGTATATTTATCGAAAAGTTTCATTATTATCGTTGGTGATCTTACGCAGAACACTGAATTTGACGACATATACCAATTGTATAATCTTCCAGCTCAAACTTTAGAAGCTAGTGTAGACTCTCCCTCATTACAATAGAAAGGGTTTAATTAGTTAGTGCACAATAGTGGTGGCATGTCGACAACTCCACTCTAGTAAGCTAGTAGTACAGCTGTAGTAGTAGCCGTACAGTACTTAGTGGAATTGGTCATGAATCATGATACGATGAGGGAAAGTCTTGACTGACTCCGAAAACACAAAAGAAGTTAAACTTACAGAGTTTACATACAACTATAAAACTCTGAAAGAGAGATTCCAATGTTAAATGTGAGCTAGAATATGAAACAATTGCCAAACGTAAAATGTTCATCTGATGAGGACGATAGTAAAGTGACGACAGCTTTACTATTACTTAAACCATATCATTTGCAATTTAGTACTTAAACTTATTTTTGTTTTTTTCACGATTTGAGAGTTCAGTACGAGATCGTGTTCTGTTCTAATCCTATTGATGGAGTCGTGTTACCATGCTAATCCTATTGATGGAGTCGTGTTACCATGGTAGCTCTGTCGTGTTACCATGGTAGCTCTGTCGTGTTACCATGGTAATCCTATTGATGGAGTCGTGTTACCATGCTAATCCTATTGATGGAGTCGTGTTACCATGGTAGCTCTGTCGTGTTACCATGCTAATCCTATTGATGGAGTCGTGTTACCATGGTAGCTCTGTCGTGTTACCATGGTACCTCTGTCGTGTTACCATGGTAGCTCTGTCGTGTTCCCATGGTAATCCTATTGATGGAGTTGTGTTACAATGGTAGCTCTGGAGCTGGCGGTTGGTTCCAGAAAGTGCCGTCCTAAGAGTCTCAGTCTGGGTTGCTGGACTGACGAACCTTCCAAATCACTAGAGGCAACATGACAATTTGAGTGCACAATTTTTCGAAAAGTGCGTTTCCAAACTTGCCTAAAATTGTTTAAAATTAGTTCACTTTCCTTGCCAAATATGAGTATGGCTTCAGTAAATTCAGACCATTCAAGAATTTTATTAAAGGAGCAACCACATTATTTGTACTAGTCAACTATAACCGTGAAAAAGCTTAAAGCAGTTGAATAATCAATGGGCAGATCCAATCACGGTGAAAATGGTATAGCCCAGTAACAAGATCTCCCATCTAGTTTCAAAATTGTGTCATCGGTTTTGTTTAAAATCGAAAATTATTAAAAATTTTGCAGGAAGTTATACTTTAACAAGATCAGCAATTGTAATGGTTAATTAAATTTAAATTTATAGTTTATTTCAGGGTATGAAGATTTTCAAAACGACGATCTTAACTACCGTTTTGACTGGTGCCCTTATCTTGTACCTCTATAATATCCTTCACTTTATCCCATCCCGTGAAGACCAGTTTAGCACTGTACGTCCGGAATTTGATTTTCAAGTTGCCATTGAAGATAATGACGGTAAAAAAGATCGGGTTTTCGAAAGAGCAGAAATACAAATAGCAACCAGCGATAACCATGTGCGGAAAGATAAGACTCTGGAAAAGCATTTTATGGTCATTGTCATACCGTCAATGTCTAAGTCACAAGAATTTCGTCATCGTTTGCGGACCAAATGGCTTAATATGTCATCTTGGGGAAGCCACGAATTTAAGGGAGTTGATCACAAATATTTGGACTTAAAACTGATGTTCGTTATTGGGAAGAAGAAGAGTGGTAACTATTCAGATGATTTTATAAAGGAAATGTCAATATACGATGACATACATCTTATTGACTTGACAGAGAGTAGAAGGATTCTGAAGGACAAAGTTTTGTTGGGCATGAAGAAAAGCGTTGAACTGTTCGACTACAAGTATTTCATAAAAATCGACCATGATACACTCGTTGATCTTCCAAATCTTGCCAAAGGAATCCAAACCCTACGAGATGAAAACGTCTACACTGGAGCATGTAACTTCAGAATAGCTAACGGAGAGTATACAAACATGTTCAAGTACTGCAGTGGTGGCGGCTACATTCTTTCACGTGACCTCGTTGAAAAGATAACAGCATTACCCGAGGAGGAGATAAACATCTCCCTAATCCCCGAGGACGGGTACACTGGGTGGCTAGTTGCTGAGGTTAAACGAAAGTTCAATATCTCTAAAACACTTCCAGTAAAGAACAAAAAGATTGTGAACAGAATGAGATACGAAGTAAAATCCGGAAGATACCGCTTCAACATGTGGTTCTATCACTGGCTGAAAAGTGTCCGCGCTTTAGAGCGCGTATTTACGTGCAGAGTAAACGCCAATTTTACACAGTGTCCTCAGAGGCGATACCATTTTGAGGATAAAACTTGTTTGTGTACTCTAAAATATCCCGACGAGAAAAGTCCAATCAAAACTGAAGCAGAACTTACATAGATATCAGATATTATGGTGACTGGTGAGTGTATCGACACTCATACCCATTTGATACGGTCTATCTAACAATTCGGTCTATCTAACAATTCGGTCTATTTAACAATTCGGTCTATTTATGAATTCTTTAGTTGCTATCTGAATCCAATGCCTATTAAACGTTCCACATGAATTGATGTACCTTACAATATTGCAGCATATTGTTATTAGAAAAACTGTTTAAAGATATTGTAAATGTAAAAGTAATTTAAACTGAATGACAAACCTGAAGTCTATCTTGAAATTATCGTCTAAGTTTATCATCTGAAATGAAGAATAGTGGTGATGGTTGGATTAGTTATACTTCACAAGAATCCAGACACGTTGAACAAAAACCTCTTTACGTTAAAAAGTAATACTAAGAATGTGAAAATAAACGATGTGACTTAAATCATTGCACACAGACCACAGTAAAGTGCCGTCAGAGATGTGACGTCAGAGTTAGAAACCTTACCTTGAGAATGGCTGAGATTTCGTGGTCACTCGCTGATCCCAAATGAATCTCCTTCAATCCAGCGATCGCTTGCTGAAATTAGTTGAATTAACGAACTCAGGTGCTTTATATTTATAACTTAATTCAACACAAGATAGCACAGTAAACATACCAGACACACACTTATGATGGGTGTATATAAAGGAGTATTTTATTATGTACTAGAAAGCCCGTGATCACAGGGAGGAAGGTAATAGTATTCTTTGGTAGTCAGTTTTTATAGCTTCAAAATTATCCTTCACAACCGAGTAAACAGCCCATTAAAATGTAGCTCGCACTGAACACAACGTAATTACCACAAAACCGATCAAAATGAAGTTAAAACAATCATTGCACGTGCACTTGCGTGTAACAACCCTCGTTACCATGGTAACTATGCAAATTCCTAATTCTCGTATAATTTGCACGTGGGCGGTCGTACATAAATAATTCTCTGAATTATAGTAGAGATTATATGTTTTAATGATTTCAAACATTAAACTTATAGCTGGATCATTACTATAATTTACTAAGAGTCGCTCTCGTAATACTCCTACCTTTCGTTTTAAGAAATGTTTCCGTTCCCGGTCATATTTAGAGAAAATCAGTTTGTATAAAGCTTGCCGCCTCTTACTGAAAAGGATCGAATTTAATTGGGGGGGAGGGCTGATGTTTGGGGGGGGGGGGGGGGGGCTGATGTTGGGGGGGGGGGGGGGGGGGGGGGGGGGGGGGGGGGGGGGGGGGGGGCTGATGTTTTTTTGTCCGTGCGATTTTGTTCGTCTTCAGAAAACAGGGTACCGCATGGACAAAAACAGGCACAAAACAGGCACAAAACATGAGCCCCCCCCCCCCCCCCCCCCCCATCAATTTAATCAGTCATCGCCTTTGAGTAGAAAATGGTTTAATTCAAAAAATCATTTTTTACATATTGATATTGCTTTTAATCTTTAGATATTACTATAAGATTAGATTAAATCAAGGAATAATTGTTAAGTTTACTTTGTTAACAATTTACTCACCAAATTATTGCATATTCTGTGAGATATTCTAATGGAGAGAGCTCTGAAATAAAGTAAAGTAGGTTTACAAGTTGTTACCAAGGCGACTGTAAACAAAACAGTAAATTTTATCTTATCTTTTGAAGCTATTTCCGACTTAAAGTTGAGTACCGCCGGGGTTGTCAAGGACGATTGTTTTTACAGCATTTTTTTAAAGGAGGTCACGCGAAATTAAAATGGAGCCTCGGCTCCCGGCAGCTGAGTCGATAGAAAAGAACATACATGATCACGAATTGTATAATCGAGCCAATGTCGGCACTGTATAATCAGTAATTTTTCCGTGGGTATCGTGGGGTACTTACTGGCCAGGACGTGCATGTCCATGGGTAACTCGTAGCGGGCCGATTGTGCGCTAACTAGAATCCTAGACTGGACCCAGTTAGCCATGTTGAAGTCTGGAATCTGAAATTAAATGTGTGTCAACTATAAGGTATGATATTAATGGACTAAACTTCAAGCAAGGATATAGTTGAAGAAATAAATGAATTAAGACGACTTTGAAGAATGGTATTAACGAGACCAAGTATTAAACGGTAGCCATACCATTTACCAAGCACAGTTCCGACTGTTTCGAAACAGTTTGGGAAGTGTTCCAACCTAACCACAGTTAAGATACTGAACATTTTACTGATGTAGTCCTACAAACAAACAAGCAAACAAACACACAAACAAACGAACAACACATTAGTACTAGAACTCAGTGAGATGTTGCCTGGCAACGTGAGACAACTCAGTGAGACATTGCCTGGCAACGTGTGACAACTCAGTGAGACATTGCCTGGCAACGTGAGACAACTCAGCGAGACGTTGCCTGGCAACGTGAGACAACTCAGTGAGACGTTGCCTGGCAACGTGAGACAACTCAGTGAGACGTTGCCTGGCAAAGTGAGACAACTCAGTGAGACGTTGCCTGGCAACGTGAGACAACTCAGTGAGACGTTGCCTGGCAACGTGAGACAACTCAGTGAGAACGTACAGAACCAGGTGGTACTGGAGAAAAGGTGATGTTATGATGGTAACCAGTGTCATAGTCAGCCCCAATACTCGCGTACAGATCCATTGAGAAGAGATAAGTGAGGCGTGTCTTTCTGTTAAGGTTGTTCTTTCTGTTAAGGTTGTACAGGGACTCTGATTGAGAAGAGATAAGTGAGGCGTGTCTTTCTGTTAAGGCGTGTCTTTCTGTTAAGGTTGTTCTTTCTGTTAAGGTTGTACAGGGACTCTGATTCTTCAAGGAAACGAGTTCCACTAGTTTGAGATGTACCTAGTTTAAATCTTTGCTTTAAAGCATCGTATTTCAAACAGAGAGCGTTACTATGACAAAGTAAAACGGTGGTACTCATTTATCCAGAAACAATTAAATATACATAGGTGTGTTCGGACGAATGAACTGTAAAAATAGCATGATTAAGACGAGTAGGAAACCCCCGACGAGTAACTACAAAAATGAATGATAATAGCCACTGTACACTAAAACTGTAGTCTGTGCACTAAAACTGTAGTCTGTACATTAAAAACTGTAGTCTATACACTAAAAACTGTAGTCTGTACACTAAAAACTCCTTTCGGAACTTCAACTAAGTCAGTAGTGAAGATAAGTGCTGACTAAAGTACTTTTAAAGTGTATTTATGCTGCAAGGTTCCGGTGCCATGATCATAATATCAAAATACAATTTCAAATGCTCTGCAAATCTCCACACATACATCCAGAGAAATACAAGAGAAACCAATTACAGAATTATAGGCAGACCTCTAACAAACATTAGCCATATAACTACAACTAGACCCACAGTGCACAACATATCGAGTTTCTCAAGACACAGCAGTAATAGACCAGCTGCATCCTCAACTGGACACGAGGGACACAACTGCTAGGTAGAAACGAGATTACCTGCTCAACAACATGCTCGAGCACTCGCGGGGGTTCATTGTGACCAGTGAGGGGGTGAGGGTTGATGAAATGAGGGGTTGGTAAAGGTGGGGGGGTTGGTGAAATGAGGGGTTGGTAAAGGTGAGGGGTTTGTGAAATGAGGGGTTGGTAAAGGTGAGGGGTTGATGAAATGAGGGGTTGGTAAAGGTGGGGGTTGGTGAAATGAGGGGTTGGTAAAGGTGAGGGGTTTGTGAAATGAGGGGTTGGTAAAGGTGAGGGGTTGATGAAATGAGGGGTTGGTAAAGGTGAGGGGTTGGTGAAATGAGGGGTTGGTAAAGGTGGGGGTTGATGAAATGAGGGGTTGATTTTTTTAAATTTTTATCTAGACACTTATTTTACTTCGGAGTATTCCAACAGCCATATTGTTACACAAGTGCAACCAGCCAATTACAGGAAGCCGAGGGATTTGTTTTTAGCCAGTGACGGTTAAGGTAGTGTGTACCATACTTTCTTCGCCCGAGACTTTGCTGCAATGTGCAGCTCCTCATTTAACCCTCACACCCGATTTCTCGAGTATTCGGCTGAGTAGACCGGGGGGCTGCATAGACCACTCACGATCCTTAGCTGAATGTCAACGACACTGGGTCCGGGACTCTAGGGCGTAAGACTCTAGGGCGTGAGACTTTAGGGCGGCGCCCTAACCCTAACCATCACCCTAACCCTAACCCTAACCCTAATCCTAACCCTAACCCTAACCCTAACCCAAACCCAAACCCTAACCCTAACCCTAACCCTAACCCTAACCCTAAGACCCTAGAGTCTTACGCCCTAGAGTCTTACGCCCTAGAGTCCGGACCCCACGACACTCACCCCACGACCAGGCAGGCAGTGGGATTTGAACCCGCAACCTCACGATTGCAGAGCTGGCTAACCAACTGCGCTACCTGGCCGTTAAAATGAGGGGTTGGTAAAGGTGAGGGGTTTATGAAATGAGGGGTTGGTAAAGGTGAGGGGTTGATGAAATGAGGGGTTGGTAAAAGTGGGGGTTGATGAAATGAGGGGTTGATGAAATGAGGGGTTGGTAAAGGTGATGGGTTTGTGAAATGAGGGGTTGGTAAAGGTGAGGGGTTGATGAAATGAGGGGTTGGTAAAGGTGAGTGGTTGATGAAATGAGGGGTTGGTAAAAGTGAGGGGTTGGTGAAATGAGGGGTTGGTAAAGGTGGGGGTTGATGAAATGAGGGGTTGATGAAATGAGGGGTTGGTAAAGGTGAGGGATTGATGAAATGAGGGGTTGGTAAAGGTGAGGGATTGATGAAATGAGGTGGTGGGTTGATGGTGGGTGGGTTGATGAAATGAGTGGTTGGTAAAGGTGAGGGGTTGATGAAATGAGGGGTTGGTAAAGGTGAAGGGTTTGTGAACTGAGGGGTTGGTAAAGGTGAGGGGTTTGTGAAATTAGAATTGTTGGAGTGGATAGACTGTGAAATTAGTGTGATAAACTTTTTCAAACGTGGTCATGTTGAGATCGTCTGTATATTGTTATATTATACTGTTATAGGCAGACCTCTAACAAACATTAGCCATATAACTACAACTAGACCCACAGTGCACAACATATCGAGTTTCTCAAGACACAGCAGTAATAGACCAGCTGCATCCTCAACTGGACACGAGGGACACAACTGCTAGGTAGAAACGAGATTACCTGCTCAACAACATGCTCGAGCACTCGCGGGGGTTCATTGTGACCAGTGAGGGGGTGAGGGTTGATGAAATGAGGGGTTGGTAAAGGTGATGGGTTTGTGAAATGAGGGGTTGGTAAAGGTGAGGGGTTTGATGAAATGAGGGGTTGGTAAAGGTGATGGGTTTGTGAAATGGGGGGTTGGTAAAGGTGAGGGGTTGATGAAATGAGGGGTTGGTAAAGGTGAGGGGTTGATGAAATGAGGGGTTGGTAAAGGTGGGGGTTGGTGAAATGAGGGGTTGGTAAAGGTGCGGGGTTTGTGAACTGAGGGGTTGGTAAAGGTGAGGGGTTTGTGAAATTAGAATTGTTGGAGTGGATAGACTGTGAAATTAGTGTGATAAACTTTTTCAAACGTTGTCATGTTGAGATCGTCTGGAATCTGTATATTGTTGAGTTATATGATTAATTACCTATGTTATATTCGCATATATTTATAATATTAATTACCTACTAGTGTAACCCGGCCTACGGCCGGGATTTCACTGCCGCAGTTAAAAAGGGTAGGAGTAATTACCCGCTGAGTCAAAACCCGCATTAGGTGACCCAATAGTTTCTTAAACAATAATCTCATAATCAGTTATTTCTTGTGGATAATTTAATCATTATTAGGCACCACATTCCATGATCATAAGGTCTGAACACCGAGTATTACACCTCATCACTCCCGTCCTGAACCGCTTAAATCGTTATAGAAATTAACCCTTGTTAACTCCGCACCACACCCGCATATTATATTTGAAAACACGCATAACATTGTCGTATGAACTCTCTCTCTCTCTCTCTCTGCAGTCCAAACAGACCCCAAACACTAACAGTACTCCCTCCCCTAATAAGCTTAAGGTATAACATTACAGCAAATCTTCCGGGCTAATCCAATTATGACGCTACTTAAATGCAGCAGATAACATATTACACAGTAATGAGAGAGAGCGAGAGAAAGAGAGAGCAGGCCCCGTAACTCTTGCCGTTCTGCTCAAGCAACTTTATGTAACATTTGTGGTACAAAACCATCAATAAAACCACTTACCACCGGCCGATTTTAAAAAAAATTTCCTATGGGCTTCATCAGAGTTTTGTCGACACTATACCGAAAAAATCAGTCCCGTAACTCTTACCGTTTTTTTTGTATAACCGACCGGAAATTACACACGGACAGACAGACAGACAGACACACACACACACACACATTCTGGTGTTATTAAGGTGATACTATATCAAATGTTGGAGTAGTCCGCTGTTTATTAGTATCATGATGAAATACTGATAGTTGGATAATATCCGGTTGAAAGAGACAAGGACAAATGAAACAGGACGTTAGGAATGTGGGCAAATTTTCGGCGTCGACGCCATCTTCGGGCTCAAATTATTTATAAATAATAATAAATAATAATTTGAGAATATGAGTATGACGTACAAATGTCGATACGTTATTCAGCTATTTACTTCCATTAGATTCTGTCTTCACTGAGTCTATTCAGAAACAATCAGAAATTGAAAGAAACATCAAATCATGAGACTTACAAATCATGTGTCTACAGTTCTTAGATTGTGAGATATGTATACAGCTGGTGAATGCTACTGACGAACAGGTCGAGAAGATGGGGGCTGCTCGCATAATAACAATCCACCAAAATTAAAAGTTAAAGAATAACCTACCTCTTTAAACTTGGGTCCAGTGAGGTCTGCTGTGCAGATTATCGAGGCCTTGCGCTGTTTCTTCCCGAGCTTGCTCGTTACCTGCGACTGTACCTACGTAATTCGGATGTTTGATCAGTCATTGATTTACTATTATAACAGGAGTTGTTTCTCTTAACAGTATCAAAAATTACGATTTCAAAAAAGAAAAGAACGAAATTTCCAAATTGCATCCTGACAACAAGATAGGTTTTTAGAACAATTTCAAAACACAAGTAATTTAATAGCGGTTGCCAGGCTTCATTCTATGGTTTCAATTCACAGAGGCGGCCAATTCACCAATCCTAATTCCTTTGCATACAGTTGCTAAAGAGGAACGCTAGCTATTTCTGTATGATAATTCAGTTACAGATCGGCTCGAGTAATTTCCTACAATTACATTAAATTCTTTGTAATTTGTTGGAAAAGTTCCACAAATTATGAGTACGCGGTTTTCAAGTGGTTTTAAAGGGTAAAGAGCGAACGGTCCCTAGCGGACGGTCCCTAGCGGACGGTCCCTAGCGGACGGTCCCTAGCGGACGGTCCCTAGCGGACGGTCCCTAGCGGACGGTCCCTAGCGGACGTTAACTTTAAGCTTAAGAGGCAATGGCGATTTCACTAATAGTATAATACTACTACTATTTCGACAATAGCTTATATATAATACTGAATACTATGTACTATACTCGATACTGCAGTAGTAGTAGTTCTCTAGATAGCTGTAATTAACTCATCTTATGGCGACCATCAACATGTTTACCACTAATCGCAGATATATATTCTACTTTTGCAGATAATATCTACTGGCACTGTATTATTGGTTCAGTATCTACTGGTATATACCTTGTTAGTTAGAGCCTCTTCTCGGTTGTCTTTCTGGAAGAAGTCTGACTTGGAAGGACTCGGTTTTGCTAACCTGAAATTGTAGTGTTTAGTAAGTTGGCACTGTGATATTTCTTATACAATGGATAAATATGAGCAACGAACTAACACTAACAGAATGATATAGATAGTAAGTAGTACTACTTTATCGGACGTTATTTGACCGGAGCGTGAACAGACATAATTTCGAACGGACATTAAAATGAACGCTAGGCCATCCAAAGTCCAATTAATGTCTGACAAGGTAGGGATGAAGGTAGTATAGTCACATCACTAGAATAAAGTCTGACAAGGTAGTATAGTCACACTGTCACAGGTAGTATAGTCACAGGTAGTATAGTCACAGGTAGTATAGTCACAGGTAGTATAGTCACAGGTAGTATAGTCACAGGTAGTATAGTCACAAGTAGTATAGTCACAAGTAGTATAGTCACAGGTAGTATAGTCACAAGTAGTATAGTCACAGGTAGTATAGTCACAGGTAGTATAGTCACAAGTAGTATAGTCACAAGTAGTATAGTCACAGGTAGTATAGTCACAAGTAGTATAGTCACAGGTAGTATAGTCACAGGTAGTATAGTCACAGGTAGTATAGTTACAAGTAGTATAGTCACAAGTAGTATAGTCACAGGTAGTATAGTCACAAGTAGTATAGTCACAAGTAGTATAGTCACAGGTAGTATAGTCACAAGTAGTATAGTCACAGGTAGTATAGTCACAGGTAGTATAGTCACAGGTAGTATAGTCACAGGTAGTATGGGTAGTATAGTCACAATCAAATCACTAGAAATAGAACTGAACTCATACCTGGGAGGGTTAGATTGGACGCCTTTGTCGCATTTTGTGATTTGAGATCTGTCTTGTGCTGCCTGTTCATAACTCCTGGTAAGAGGGCATGTTAGTTTTACAGAAACAACGGGGGAAAAACAAATGGTCAACTAAAACACCGTTACAAGAAGTCAACAACTCCAGAACCGATCAACCATAAGTCGCATAGTGAGGGATTATAGACTGGTCAAGTAGCAACCGACCAGTAGATGTACAGTATTAGCAAAATAACTAAAATAATAGCCACATGCGTAAGAAGCAGAGAAGCAGCCCTATGACACCAACGAAATATAATTATTTTAAGTATTGTAAGTGGGGACTGGGGAGTGGCGAGGGAACTACTTGACGCTAGTGTTAACAAGCCCATCCCATCACACACCGTCACACTCTACCGAATAACGGTTAACTTGGTAAAACAAAATAAAACGATAAAAACGTCTCCAGTGTGGCCCAGATCTTCGCAGGTGTCCATTATCCTTACAAGCGCTTAGGCTTTCCGCGAATACTAACTAAATGTTAATTAGTTAATGCTTTCCCGGCACATAAACCATCAGCCTACAAGTACCACCTGCTCAGAAACTACTCATTGAACTATAAAACGTGTCAGCCCCAGTAAATCGAGTGAAGCAAAGGTAAACAAGCCTCTCAGCAGCTAGAGAGTCACATATTGGAGCAGCCCGCCGGGTTGATAACCACGTGACCATGGCAACCTGCCAGGTTACCACCACGTGATCCTGACCTTGTGCACGTGGGCTTATCATTTACCACACGTGGGCTGATCATTTACCACACAGAGCGCTAAAAACTGTAACTTCGGTAAAGTCAACATCCTGAGTGACGATTACAGAAAGCACACATTGCAATAATGCAGCAGTTCTGCCTGGGATGTGGGATGCAATAATGGTCCTCGCATGGTACAGCACTGTTATTTCATCAACAGTTCATGACAAAATCAGTATGGTCCGACGCTGAAAGGGGATTAATAAGTGCGCGACTACGAAAATTGGAAAATGTCAGTCCATATACTCATATAAAAATGGCTGAATGAATGCTTGCGATAAGAGAATAAACAGTTTGCAGATTCAACCAGGTAAATGGACTGGGCTGCTGTTGAACGGGCGGATCTAACTTGAGCCTCCATACTTGCTCAACCGTTGGGGGCCGGGTGGATCTAGCTTGAGCGGGGGGAGAAGCTGGGGCCTGGGGGACGTTCAGCACTTACCGCCTTATTCCCATACTTGTACAGCCACTGACGAGCTAGCACTTACCGCCTTATTCCCATACTTGTACAGCTACTGACGAGCTAGCACTTACCGCCTTATTCCAATACTTATACAGCTACTGACGAGCTAGCACTTACCGCCTTATTCCAATACTTGTACAGCTACTGACGAGCTAGCACTTACCGCCTTATTCCAATACTTATACAGCTACTGACGAGCTAGCACTTACCGCCTTATTCCAATACTTGTACAGCTACTGACGAGCTAGCACTTACCGCCTTATTCCAATACTTGTACAGCTACTGACGAGCTAGCACTTACCGCCTTATTCCCATACTTGTACAGCTACTGACGAGCTAGCACTTACCGCCTTATTCCAATACTTATACAGCTACTGACGAGCTAGCACTTACCGCCTTATTCCAATACTTGTACAGCTACTGACGAGCTAGCACTTACCGCCTTATTCCAATACTTATACAGCTACTGACGAGCTAGCACTTACCGCCTTATTCCAATACTTGTACAGCTACTGACGAGCTAGCACTTACCGCCTTATTCCAATACTTATACAGCTACTGACGAGCTAGCACTTACCGCCTTATTCCCATACCTGTACAGCTACTGACGAGCTAGCACTTACCTCTCTAGAGCACTTGAACCATGTTTCCCAGTTTGCGTTGATCTGTCGTACAGGTTCAGGATTCCAAGCTGAGGGGTTACTATGGTTACTTTGGTTACTATGGTTACTGACTACTGAGGGGTAGCAGGTTATGAGAAATTAAATAATTTAGAAAGTAAATATCTACTCAGGGTAAGTTTAATAGCAAACGAATTTAACAGTTAACTAAGAAACCATGTGATGGCGGCTGGTTCTCAAATGGATCAGATGAATGTCCATAGTTGAAGTCTTGTTTTTTGTGTGTATGGTTCTTATTCGACTGGAGCTCAATATTCTACATCGGTCAAAGTTGGATCAAAAACATTTTAAACAACGCGAGATAATAAGGAAAAGTACATAAAACTACTCAAACAGATAATACCAAACTCGGAGAAAGGCCAAGGTTATCTCATGCACGGAGCAAATTAAGATTAAGCTTGTCGAATATTACTTAATCTCACTCAATAGTCAGCGACCCTTGACCTCGAGTATGTCGGAAGTGTAATACAGGAGATGGGCTTAGTTGGTCAGTCTCACGCCGTCTTATTGGGAATTAGCTTTTCTTAAGGTTCACACAGGAAAGATTCTGGTTCATTTTAAAAGTTTGTATGTTTGTATGTTTGTCTGTTTGTCTGTTTGTCTGTTTGTCTGTTTGTCTGTTTGTCTGTTTGTCTGTTTGTATGTTTGTATGTTTGTGTGTTTGTGTGTTTGTCTGTTTGTCTGTTTGTCTGTTTGTCTGTTTGTCTGTTTGTCTGTTTGTCTGTTAGAAACATACCGTATCTTCAGGAGCTGCCGTTTCCTCCGCTCCGTTGATATCACCCTGTGAAGGGAAAGTGTCACTTTGAGGTTAAACAAGATCGAGCTCAAAACTGGTAAAGAGAATTTGTATTATTTGAATCAAGATTTCATGCAGTTGGCTTCGGAAATCAACCAAGAGTAGTGGTAATCAATCAAAAGCAATTGTAATCAATTAAATGCAATTGTAATCAATTAAAAGCAATGGTAATCAATCGAAGGTAAGACAGGTTGCGTATAGATTGATCATTTGTCTAATACCTTCTGCAAATTGATGAGTTTTCATATGCCTGAATCAAGACTAAGAATTTATGAGAGCGATTAATATAATCTTCAGTGCTTCCAATCGACGAAGTAACTACATGATAATAACACTTGATAATCAATAGCGTTCAGTCAGCTTACAAACGAATAACAGCAACGATTCATGAACAGTACGGAACTTTGATCACTTGATGCAGTGAATAGTGATCATCACACACAAAATGACCTCTTGATGACCCTTTTTCTGACCCTTTTTCTGACCCACTTGCCGAACCTCCTGGCGAGGCTCCTCTCGGGCTGATTGCAGACGAACTACAATATCTCTGACCGTTAATATCTCTGACTGACGACCCTTCCCGGTTCGGGGCCGAGGCTTCTGATAGGTTACACAAATAGGTCACACAAATAAACACGATCAAAAGTTGCAGGGTCAGACAATTTGTCACTTCTCGATTATTTTAAATGCAGCAGATGTAATGATGTATTCCGGCCACCGTTTAAAAAACAACAATTTCCCGAATGTCCTAATTTGCCAGATGGCAACATGATATTTTTCCCAAGTGAAGTATTTTCTAAAATAACACGTGACTAGCTAGCAACTAACTCACCAGATCTGTGACTGGTTTAATGATGGTCTGGTCCGGATCCTCTTCAGTTTTATCTGTTCCGGTCTTTGCTTCCGCACGGAGCACCTGCCGATATTTGGTCAGGTTTTAAAGCTAATCGACACTCAGATAATTTGTAATTTTGTGAATCTAGACAAGATATGAAATTAATTTAAGTTTCATATCACACGCAGATGTTTGCACTAAAAACATGTCACATGAACAGGTGTCAGGTTGACAAATAAGTAACACTAAGAATCTAACAGGTTAATAAGTAACACTAATAATCTAACAGGTTAATAAGCAACACTAATAATCTAACAGGTTAATAAGTAACACTAAGAATCTAACAGGTTAATAAGCAACACTAAGAATCTAACCTTGGCGCTGATTTCGTAATTCTGGTTCTCATCTCTGGAGGTCCGTCTGTTACCGCTCACCCCAGTGCCAGGCACCTTCACATTACCCTTCAACTTACCTGTCGTACTCGAATCTGCAGACGCTGTGAAATTAAAGTCAGGTTCTGGCGAATACGTCATCTAGAAAGAGCATGGTCACCTTGTGAAATTGCCAGATCTTTCACCCTTTTGGTTTTGTTTTCAGTACATAATTCATATATCTTACCTTCCCAAGCCTGCTGCGGCTTGCCGTTATTAGTGAGACTACTTCTGCTGCTCGAACCATGATAGGATCTCACAAAGTTAACGTAGGAAGTGTCGGATCCGTCCCCTTCGCCCTGATAAGAATTTTGTTTCTCAATGTTAATTCAAAATTAAACATGCATTTTATTTCCTTGCCATGCAGAGGACGCGCGCGTATGCGCGGCTTGAAGTACTGTCGATGCCAAACTTTTTATATAAAATACATGTAAAACTGTAGCGTGTTCCGTTGAAGTATTGAGCAGCATGCACGACATCCGATTTCAACCAGCGGCATTTTCCTTTTAAAAGCGGATACGTAATGATAAGCTTCATCAGCCATTCTAAACACTAGCAGGAACCCGTATAATATAACCCTAAACGGTGTCAAGACTCAAAATACTAAAATAATTATTACCTATTTAATTGGCGTTTTTGCCACCACTTGGGGGTCCAAATTTTAGGCTCTAAAATCATTATTCCTTGGCCAATTTTTTATTTTTTCATGCTGATTTGAAGGCCATTAAAGCATTTGACCCAGCCAAAAAAGTTCCAGTTGTATATCTTTTACGGTTTTTGCGGAAAGTCACGTTAAAGTTGATGCCGTGGTGTCAGTAAAATGGCACAGATATATATATATATATCGTCTCGCTTTATATATAGTAAGATGTATAGATAGTGTATAATTAGATTTACCCGGCGGCTGTGTGCATTTTCAAACCCCTTTTGCCACGCCTGAAAATGGTAGAGATAAGAAAGTACGATTAACCTTCGCTCTCCTTTCATTATTCATGATAAGTATTCAAATGCAAAACTTAGTTGTGCATGCCGCTCGATACTAGTTAGATTTTGTAATACTGCAATATTTGTGCAAAAATCTTTTTAAAACTTCAGTTGTACAGAGTAGCGGAATTTTCAATTTATATTTTTCGTCGATAAGAACAAAAGTCGCCAAATGTTCCCTCACTCTTTGAGAAGAGACATTTTCCATCCATTATTTGAAAGCCTCGTGTAGATAAAGATTATACGGAATGCTTGATAGCACTACAATTAAAATGCTCTCATTCGAGCAAATATATCAAAATATTCAATCACCAACGCCACCCTAGTTGTTGAAATGACTCCATGCAATCAAGTGCACATGTTTGAAGGGGCGATATTAGCATGCATCTCAAATGTGTTGTAAGATTGTAGGACATTTGGCACTATGGCAACAATGGTTCACTTTAGATATGTTTTTGACGTGTCTAATGTAAACCATCACATTCTAACTTTACCAATCATCATTTCACTTATCTACAAAACCAATTTTATGCACAAGAACAGCATGGTGCCGACGAGAAAACCGCCGGTTTATATCAAACCGCCATTACTAACTGCTAGGTTTGATATAAACCGGTAAAGTACCCAGAGCGGCGAGTAAATTAGTAGTTAGTAGTCGGAGTAATACTCAGTTTACCAATATAATGTGCATATTACGAGTTTCACAATGATAATTCTTATATCCCATAAAATATGCCACATATTATTACTTATTATGCATGTTCTGGATAAACCTATCCTCCCACTATACTAAATTTCTGCCTTCATATATCTCGATAAAACCAGTAGTTGATAGTCACACTGCAATCATCTCAATCTGACTAGCTATTATACTAGTATTATATTTAGTCATAATAGAGATATTAACAATGTTCTAGTACAAGTGTACAGGCGAATACATTAGTTGTAGAAACTAAGAATGGTGAAGTTCAAATCTCAAGCTCTGATATGTAACCACAACATTGGAGCGGTTAATGAATATGCTAACAGGACACAGTACTGCTTGTAACCACAACATTGGAGCGGTTAATGAATATGCTAACAGGACACAGTACTGCTTGTAACCACAACATTGGAGCGGTTAATGAATATGCTAACAGGACACAGTACTGCTTGTAACCACAACATTGGAGCTGTTATTGAATATGCTAACAGGACACAGTACTGCTTGACAGTCTAACCATTACAAACAATGCTCCATTGCAGCAACTCATCAACTGTGATCAGGGGCTGTGGCTTTGAGTCAAATATCCAGCACCGCTCTACAGCCAGTCGAGAACCAGCCAACAGCCGGCTAGGAGCCGCTCTGCGACCGTTCTAAGAGCCGGCAGTGAATTTCTATTTATATTCAAAGCATTTAGTGCACGCCATGGAACGCTCAACACGAAGGTGTTTTGACATTTAATTAGCAGGGATTCCAGATTATTAATAAACATTTGCTGTTCACGGACATTTGTATAGTGCATTACCGTAAATACTAGAAAAACGAATTAAGATGATTAATTAATTAATTAGTTAATTAAGATACATCATATAGCCCTGGAGTCAGAAATTGAAAAGTAAGTAGTTGAATGAATGATTACTGAATAGTATGGAACAAATCAAGTTTTCAGTATTGAATAAGTAGTTTATTGGTGTTAATCTGAGAATGCTCTGATAATTCTCCAGTTTCGCCAAGATTAGTAATTAGTAATTTAGTAAGTAATTTTAGTAATCGATACTGATAATAAATGAGTTGAAATCAGTCCGTCATATGTTAGTGAACACTCAAGCTCAGCTATATGCCCTGCCACTAGAGTAAAGACAGAAGCATAAAACCTTTTTGTTAGTAATAAGTTTTCCTCTCTTCTTTTTCTTCTCACCAGCAGCTCTAAACACGCGACTACGTGACGTATTAGGCCTTGTAGTAGGCACATCATCATTGTTCAAAGCAGTGCGCTCTAATGTCAGGAAGGACATGTCAAACGAGTCGTAGTTTAGGAAGTTAGTGTCGTGATCAGGAGCAGGAACTGGTGATCGAGTTTGAAAAGGACAAAACTTACGGAAACGAAACATATGGAGACAAGTATCAGAAACGAGATTGGGGCCGGGTTCTACAGACAAACAAACAAGCAAGTATTGGAGGGTTCGAAGACAAGTATTGTAGGCTAGTATCGGAGGTTTTGAAGTTGAAAGTTTAAACAAATTACTATTTTTGAGAGAGTAGTGTGAAAGAGTATGGTGTTGTCTCTCTCTGTTGTGGACTGTGGAGGTTGTTATTAATCAACACCAGCAAGAGCTCAATGTGTCTCCTCAGATAGAGGACACATTGCACCGCTCACACACTGCTAATTTAAATATTAGTAACATATTTTATATATTTCGGCCCATTTTCGTGGAAAATATCTGAATTTCTTGTAAATCATTTTACTCTGTTGGCTCTACTTATGCAGTAAGCTGCTCGAAATATTTCATGATTACTTGCCTTCACTTTTACATACAAAAGCAGATAAAATAAGAACTACCCCCCCCCTCCCCCCTCCACTTAATGATAACTAACTCACCTCTTCAGGCGAAGGCGGTAGAGCGTCCTCGTCAAACCCAACAACTGCTGGTACCAATCTCCTTCGAGCCTGAAGTTATACACTTTGTAATTAAAAATATTAAATACGATATTGGACGGCTAACGTATAGGTTACGGTGTGTAATACTGTAATAGTAATCAGGAGCTGTAACACTAACAGATTACCGACGAGGATTTAATAATTCATAATCAGGCTACGAATATTGTTTAATTGTTTCCAACAAATATGATAACGTAAAAGCTGAACAGGTCCTTAGTAATGCATAGATAATGTAATAAATTTCCGATTACAGTAATGAATTTAAAGTGACATGTATTAATCAAGTTCAAATTAAGGTTAGGAATTACACCTTAACAAAATTCTTTAATATTCTATTAAATTCAGTTTTATTTTTCAAGTTATCTCATGAGCCTTACATAATTTAGCCGTTAATTTAAACAATGTTTTAATGACGTTACATATTACGTTATTTAACAAAGAGAAAAGCAATTGTTTAATAGATGAGATAATCACGCTTCATTACACACTGCCACACTGTAACACTTATATTGCAACTCTCTCCTCCTCCTTCCTCAAGTAAACACAACATCTCCTCACACTGTCTGACTCGCAACACAATACTAATTGTGAGCTCCTCAACAACAAGCTGTCACATTGCCCCGGCAAGCAAGTAACTGGATACGTTAGACACGACCAGCATTTCAACTTGTCAAAATATTGTGAATAGAGAGGGAGTAGCGGTGTGCACCGTGTTAAGTCTCTGCAGAGAGGGAGCACTTCAAGTAATGTGGGAATTATGTTTTTGAGAAAATCAAGTTAATTGAGCACAGTATATTATACAGTATATAGTACGACCACATAATGTTTCGTGTTAGCTGCAGCTGTCTACAATTATTTAATTCTACATACTTATAAACAAAAGGAGGGGGAGGTATTATACACCCTTATATGGGCATCACGTGTGCACCTATATACAGATATAGTAGAGGGGGAGGTATTGTACACCTATATAGTAGAGGAGATATAGGGGGGAGGTATTGCAATATTTAGAGGTCAAAAACAAATGCGAAATTGCACCTTTCTCCATAATAGTGGGAGTAACGGTACTGAGTCTCAGTACCGTTACAACTCTCAGGTACTGAGAGTTATCACTGTTATCATCACACTTGGAGGGGGATTGTTTAAAACATTTAGTGATACGAGAAATCACACTGTTATGATCACACTGTCCACTATACTGCATTGTACTGTACACTGTCCTACTAAAGAACTGAACTATTCAAGTCAGCTTTTAAAAAAAGGAAAACTGGAGAATTGTGAATAGTGGATTGTGATACCTTGCGGTTATTGTACCTGATCAACTGAACATTACAACACCCCACCAGCATTAATGAATTTGCTACCAGTAAGTTTAGCAAGGGAAATGATTAAATAAATCTTAATGAAATTATTAATATATAATAACAAGAATATAAAAGGGAAACATCAGAATTCTTACCAAACACACCGGCGCACTGGTAGCTGCAGAACGAAATAGAAAATAGGGCACAATTAAAAGTTGGCATGCTCCGATAACTGATAATGAACCAATCCCGTGTCGATCATCAAAGTCACGTGATCACCAAAGTCACGTGACACACTATTGGCCAATCCCAGGGTTACCATGGTTACACGTGCACTGTCCTGAGATGCTTATCTTTTGTTTATTTTCGTTATCGCGGTTACCGACTTTGATACTCCCATTTGTACACGGATATATCGTTTTATTTATCAGATAAGAGATAACGAAGCACGGCTAGAATTACCATATTCCTGATCTTTACTCCTTATCTTTTACACATTACACATTTCACGAGTAGAGAACCCTGAGGGGTATTACAACTGGGCTTTTGAGCGTTACCATGGTAACGAATGAGACGTGATGAGGAAGCAGTCATTTCCAATAGTTGTTATAACGGAGTAAGGTAGATCTTATTAAACTCGCAGCTTAGCAAAGCGATAGTTTACTGTATCTAAAATAGCATGACTAACTGAAAGATTCTCAGGATTGTTATTTGGCTCGGTGAAATTCCTTGGCTGTAGATATATAGCATGATAAAGGACAAAACATTAAACACTTTTCTTTATGGTAGACTAAGAAGATTTTATTAGTACCAATGTTAATACGTTGCTTACCAGGTGGTGAATAGTGTAATTTTATTTAATTTAAAAGTTGATTTTTAAAGTTGATTTAAAAGTTGATTATCAATACTTCGTATTTACCACAATCTGCATAATCTCATAATATACATACTTAGTAAGTATTATTTATATAGCCCATTGAACGATGAGTTGATGAATAGATCAATGGATGATTTTTTCCGCATAAAGAGATAATTTGTTTAAGAATTCTGTTTATACGCGTAGCTTCCGAGCAAAAAATTCAAACGTTCGAAGAAGTTTATTCATTATGAATGTATGAAACCATTTTCAAGCAGCCTTCAATCAATACTTTATATACCGCAAGAAATACTAAACTTTCCTCAGCAATTATCAATGACTTTATTATTGATGACTTTATTGGGAAATCTCTTTAAAAACTCTGTTGTTTTCTTCAGATAAGGTCTTGATAAACATTGCCATTCATGATGAGAGTATTACTGAGCATACCACATATTTTGACTGCACATTATCAAGGTGGCATTTGATATAATTTTAATGCTCCTACGCAATGCTTCTCAATCTGAGCATTAAAAACGTACGATTGTGATCCTGTCAGCCAGTAGCACGAGGATTAAATCCAGTATTGTAGCCTAATTGTCATGACAACCAGCCCGGAACCCACCTCTGAAGAGCACGTGTCACCCCTGAACGGCCGTGTTGGGGTGGACACGTGGGCGCGATGGACACGCTGAGTGAGACACATTCTAATCTGTCACAAACTCAGCTGCAATTGAGCTCGCTTCTGATGCAGAATATTAAAAGTGAGGACATTTTAAATGATGTGCTGTATCGGAGAGTGCAGATCTCCGAGACAGAGAGAATGAGTAATAGAGTTTAATAAAACTATATCGTAAGATATGTTGTGGGGGATTTAGTACACAGAGGAGTGTGCTTTATTTCTATCTGCAGTACAAGTAGCTGCAGTGGTCGGTAAAGTACACAGACGAAATGTTGTTACAGATAGCAACAAAGAGGCGACAATTCTTTGAGCTGAACATGACAAGAGAGGATGAGGAACTATTGCTGTCGATGATCTCGATTGGAATAATATGTATAATAATATGTAAGGCGGCTTGGACAAAGGTCTTCGACACAAAATAATCGCGACCTGTTTTAAAGTAGAATTGTCGCGATGCTGAAAAATAACTAAATCCATAAGGCAAGCCTCCAGGGTCTGTGCGTGGTGTTGAGCATGAAATTAACTAAAAGTGCCTAACCTGAAAGAAGCGGTGATGTTTCGTCCGCTTCACGCCATCTTCCTCTAATCTCGGTTTTATTTCAACCATTTTAGAGATTACGAGAAAGTCGTTCTCACATTTCTTCTCAGTGAACGTTTTACGTTTTTCATGTGAACAAAGAGCCTCTGTAGATTGCACTTTTGCTGGTGCTGATTTTGACTCACAAATCGTGGTATTTTGACAGTGATTCTTGGAGAGAACTCTATCTTTCCCAGTATGACAAGTTGGTTTGACCAGCTTCTCTCCGATCTCCCGAGGAAGTGCTCTGACGTCACTACCACCCGACCTCACCCTACAAACTGATCCTCCAGCTCTGATACTCAGCTGTTCCTCCAGTGAGGCTACTTGTTTGTGGACAGACCATCCACACCACTTGACGTCACTACCTCTGACGTCACTACCTCTGACGTCACTACCTCTGACGTCACTACTTCTGACGTCACTACCTCTGACGTCACTACATCCACACCAGTTGGGAGTCTGTTCAGAGGAGCGGGTTTTACGAGTTCGGGGTCTGTGATTGGCTGTCATCTCCTGATCACTGAACATCTTATTGTTGTGACTGAATGTTCTAGGTTGACTGGATTTGCTTCTCTGAAGGCTGTATTTCTTTACTCGCTGCCTAGGTGTCTGATTCTGATAAAGAGGGGCACACTCAGCACAATTCTGTTGAGCTGGTACCATGCCTCGTGGTACCCGGTCACGTGGTACCCTGTCACGTGGTACCCGGTCACGTGGTGCCCTGTCACGTGGTACCCGGTCACGTGGTGCCCTGTCACGTGGTACCCTGTCACGTAGTACCCGGTCACGTGGTACCTGGTCACGTGGTGCCCTGTCACGTGGTACCCTGTCACGTGGTACCCGGTCACGTGAGTTCAGCATGTTGGGGTGAGTAAAGGTACGCTCTGTTCTAGCAAGCAAAGAATAGAGGACAGTTTCAAGGTCGTACAGGGTTTGCAGGGATGGTTTAACTGCAGGAGAGTTGTCCGCCATATTTTATTGTAGATGGTCACATGGTCACTCAGACTACTAAATAGATTCCAGATTACGTTTAATAGAACAAAAAAAAATATCAAATGATGGAGTAGTTCGCTGTTTATCTACTCAGTAAATAAAAATAATCAAATGGAAACAAAAGCCGAAACTATGCGCTTAGACTGGTACGCGTAAACCGAACCTATTATTTACTATTAATTACTTTTGTTCACTGTTATTTACTATTATCGCTCCTTAGCAACATAAAACATAGAAATTCATGAAATCAGGAAATTGGTAAAAAGCGGAGTTTATTTAACTTTAATATGAGACTAATTACAAACCAAGTCTTAAAGTTTGGGACGGTGAAGACTCTATCTAAATTGAGGGACCCCACCCAAATCACAATTATTGATTTGGAGGAGGAGGAGTAGAGGAGAGGAAAGAGAGGAGGACTCTATCTAAATTGAGCGACCCCACCCAAATCACAATCACTTCAGTAAGCATCAGTTGATGAACCAGGACAGATTCTCGTCTGAATTAATGTATTTTTGGCGAATAAGCTCGAAATAGATGCTTGATATTTGTTGCAAGATAAGGTATATTATATATATTATATAATATATATATATATATACGATGTAAAAATATAATATTTCATTGCAAACAATAACTACTATACAGACTATTGGGAGCGGCTCGAAGCACTAAATTTAATGTCGATACAAAGGAGGAGAAAAGGAGGAGAGAAAGAGGAGAGAAAGGAGGAGAGAAAGGAGGAGAGAAAAGAGGAGAGAGAGAGGAAGGAGAGAGGAAGGAGGAGAGAAAAGAGGAGAGAGAGAGGAAGGAGGAGACAAAGGAGGATAGAGAGGAGGAGAGAAAGGAGTAGAGTAGAGGAGAGAGCGTTATATTATCATCTATATGTGGAGAATCTTGCACCAACGATCCATTTTCTACTCCATCAAGACACGGAATCAAGTAAGAACAGTACTCAACGTCAACAGTCATTGTATGATGGTTCATTTGCAGTAATTAAATGGGGCCACGTTTATGGAACACTATTCCATCAGATCTTCCATCAGATCTTCGCCTCATTGAAGACCCACTTCTGTTTAAAGCAAAGCTGTCAGAATTTCTTAAACCGTTTCCAGATAACCCATCTGCGAGCAACTACAGCTGCCCTAGTGGAAAGTCTCAGCTGGACTGGAGTATGAACAAGGCAGCATTGATACTGCAAGGACGGTCAAACTTGAAACTATTCTTCATTCAAAGACCCAGTAGAGGACTAGTAGAGGAATCTACGTTTCAGAGCGACAGACTACGTTGTAAAGTAGTTTCTACGTTTCTTTAAACTACACGGAACAATTAATATACTTTAGGTACAGGCAGGAGGGGGAAGTCAGGCTCAATGCAGATGTTTAGTGGACTTTAATAGGTTCAAATGGGACCTATTATTATATTACATTTTTCATTTTCACTGGAGTATAGCCAGTGATGATGCAACATTATCTTTCTAATAAATTGAAATGTATTTTATACTTTTATACTAAGCCAGATGTACCCTGATTGCTATGACGCATCCTGTGGTTACTATGACCGTAATAAACGTAACCTTGACAGTTAATTTACATTTCAGAAGACAACTTTAATACAGATCGTCCGGTTCAGCTGCTGAACAAACGGTCAAATATTAGTTTACAATTGATAACCTGGTTATCATTCAGCAACTTTCTTGTTTGTCATGATGTTCGGCCTCTTCAGATTGTTTGAGGATTACATTTCTTAATCTTGGGTAGTAGCCCACGATTGATACAATTGAATCGCTATTTTGATCTCAGATTTTGGAAATGCGATATACCCAAAAACAATTGAACTATTATTTCACATGGCTGAACAACTAAGCCTGTATTACAGTAGACCCCAAGTTCAGCGGTATTACCTTACACAGCCCCCCCCCCCCCCACAGCCCCACTGTCCCCTCCCCCACAGCCCCCACCTCCCTCACAAGAATCATTGCCCAATATATTACCCATTAACTGATAGTAATTCCCTGTTAATGTTATTCCACTGACACTTTCCACTGTCACAAATACACCGTGACTATGCCAACACCATTGTAACTATGACAACGCCATTACTTCCCCACAATGAACTTAAATACATGAGATTTGATAAGTTGGTCTTCAATACTACACTACTACGTGTGCACTTTATTTCATCAGAGTGTCAATCTCAGAGCACTGTAAACGTAGCGTGATGCAACTTAGTGACGTTTTGAAAAACCAATTAATTTACAAGAGATACGGGCAGCTTAGAGAGATGCAGTCAGTGCATGTGTGTTGCAGGGCTGGAAAAAACACTGACGTGGTCACTTGTCACGTGTTGGAGTGAAGTTGTCACGTGTTGGAGTGTAGTTGTCACGTGTTGGAGTGTAGTTGTCACGTGTTGGAGTGTAGTTGTCACGTGTTGGAGTGTAGTTGTCACGTGTTGGAGTGTAGTGGTCACGTGTTGGAGTGTAGTTGTCACTTGTTGGAGTGTAGTTGTCACGTGTTGGAGTGTAGTTGTCACGTGTTTGAGTGTAGTTGTCACGTGTTGGAGTGTAGTTGTCATGTGTTGGAGTGTAGTTGTCACGTGTTGGAGTGTAGTTGTCACGTGTTGGAGTGTAGTTGTCACGTGTTGGAGTGTAGTTGTCACGTGTTGGAGTGTAGTTGTCACGTGTTGGAGTGTATTGTCACGTGTTGGAGTGTAGTTGTCACGTGTTGGAGTGTAGTTGTCACGTGTTGGAGTGTATTGTCACGTGTTGGAGTGTAGTTGTCACGTGTTGGAGTGTAGTTGTCACGTGTTGGAGTGTAGTTGTCACGTGTTGGAGTGTAGTTGTCACGTGTTGGAGTGTAGTTGTCACGTGTTGGAGTGTAGTTGTCACGTGTTGGAGTGTAGTTGTCACGTGTTGGAGTGTAGTTGTCACGTGTTGGAGTGTAGTTGTCACGTGTTGGAGTGTAGTTGTCACGTGTTGGAGTGTAGTTGTCACGTGTTGGAGTGTAGTTGTCACGTGTTGGAGTGTAGTTGTCACGTGTTGGAGTGTAGTTGTCACGTGTTGGAGTGTAGTTGTCACGTGTTGGAGTGTAGTTGTCACGTGTTGGAGTGTAGTTGTCACGTGTTGGAGTGCAGTTGTCACGTGTTGGAGTGTATTGTCACGTGTTGGAGTGTAGTGGTCACGTGTTGGAGTGTAGTTGTCACGTGTTGGAGTGTAGTTGTCACGTGTTGGAGTGTAGTTGTCACGTGTTGGAGTGTAGTTGTCACGTGACTAATTTTGGTTGTTTAGCAACCTTTTCCAAGATTATTAGTAACCCTGATCTGTCTATCAGATGTAAAGCTGTAAGGTAAGTTACACAAGAGATTAAGTATTTCACAAGTTACCCACACACTTACTAATAGTCGTATCTTAATTTCCCAATAATTACTAAATTACTCAAAACGTCAGCTTAAACTGTTAAAGTTTAACTCCTGGGAATTCGGGGAACAGATGTAGCAGTTTACACGGGGGAGGGGGGAGGGGGGGCACATTGTATAAACATAGTACTAAATAGCTAGTAATACTGTAGGTAGCAAATAAAGTGTATCAGATATTTGAACTCTAATAAAGCTTAGATAAAATAACAGTACTTACTGAAGCGGATGAAGCAGCAGACCTCGGTCTTCCTCCGAGTGGGTTCAGCCTGATCTTATCATCTAGTCCCGTTAGAGAGGGGTCCATAGACCCTGAAATAAGTGCACGTGTTACTTATACTGGATCACGTGATTATTAGACTGGTTCACGTGATTATCATACTGGATCACGTGATTATTAGACTGGTTCACGTGATAAAGTTAGTTTCATCAGCCAAATATGCAGATTTTTCTTTTTCAATAGATCGTATCTCAGGGTATAAATTACATATATTTAAAATGACACACGATTCACCATCCACTTCCAGCATTGACCTATTATAAGTTTGCCTGGAGGGGGATTTGTTTAAACGTTATTATTATAAGTTTGGTTTCTCCTCCCCGCCACGTCTATAAAAATGTAGGTGTAGAATTAGTAAATGGGGACACAATGAGAGCAGAAGATCAAGGAGTAGTACTTAATTAACTCTGGGCACGTGAAGCAAAGTTTTGAAAAGGAATGGGAAGAGTAGAAATTCTAGACGTTGGCTATTTGGCACTGCTTTTTTTGAGAAGCAAACATTAGATAAAAGAATGAATTAACTCCGGGCACGTGAAGGAAACTTTTGAAAAGAAATAAGAAAAGTAGAAATTCTAGCCGGGGACTAAAGTACCTGCCTCTTTGGGAATTAATTAAAATTAGTTTTATCAACTGGAGAGCATAATGACTAATATAGACAATGAAATCCTTGTTATTACTCGCATAGATGGTGCTGTGCAGGACTTAGCACCTGGAAAAGCTATAGGCAAAATAATTATAGTGATAAAGAGGGCGCACAGCACGTAAATCATAAGTCTCATTTAATGTCAAAGTTATTTAAGGGTACCAACATTTCCGTTTGCTCATTTCCTAATCGCACCATCTACTGACTGCTGAAGATGAAAATGTTTGCTGCTGCTCTCCTTTTCCTGGCACTCTCCCTAGCCTGCGCTTATGACTATTATGACATGGAAGGAAAAGGATATGATTATGCCGAATACGTAGGAGAAGAAGACCATTATGGAGATGATTATTACGATAGTTCAGCTGGTTATCTCCAGACAACCTGCTCTCTGATAGTTCCTGCGCTGTACTTCTTGCTTAACTGAGTACACCAGACTGTGCAACAGAAGAAAATTGTGTAGTTTTGAGAATCATTGAACTGACATTTAAAATATTTAGTTTTTGTTGCACTTATATGTTGCAAGTTTAGTTCCAACATTTAGTTACCAATAGACCTGTCTTATTGTTTTACTTGTAGAGAGTAGTAATAAATAATATGATGCTCTGGAATCTGTGCTACAAATTGTAGGGCAACAATCAGGGCCCCATTCATTAGGTAGAACTATTTCTCCTGAAATATTGCTACTGAACACATATGACAGTATGCATGAAGTCCATTGCATGAAGAATGAAACAGACTCTTAATCATGGATTATTAACGTGTAATGTTCTAAATGACATGTGATCCGGACTGTTAACACCTCTCTCCCCCCCTCTTGTAAAGCAGCTGAGCTAGGCTGATAATCTGACTGATCAGGAGTATTTATCGTTATGTTGATTTATTGATAGATCAGCTGCAGTAATCTATAAGTTTGAATGTTGACAATAATAATTGATTAATTGTTCCCATACCTTTATAAAAGTTTGGAATTGTAACACTGTTTCTACTGCATGACTTATGTGGCTGGTTCCAGATGCGGACGAAGCGCTGAGCAGAGTTTGGTCTGTTTCTTCTTCCATATGAGTGATTCTGATTTTGTATAGCCAACCACGGCAAAATTGGATCAATGTACGCCGTGGCCATACTGACCTATAAGTTATGGGATATTGTTAAACCAAATCAAATGAGTGGCTATTTCAATGAATGTTTAATCACACAAAAATAATTAATGAATAACCTGACAGATATTCAAATAAACTCAACAAGATAGGGTTGGAGTATTCCAAAGCTGTCTAATAAAAACATCAGTATGAACAGTATTCGATTGGTTGAAATGAGCAAAAAATGTGCACAGATCTCAGAAAAGACTTTTTTAATTGAAAAATAATAATTTATCACCAATCAAAACAATCAGTTAAATATAAAATCTAAGTAATTTTTAGCACAAAATCGTGGCATATGCTAACAGCCAGCTGATACGCAAATTGTGCATGAGTGGGTGATGTACAAGCACATTATTTCATTTCATTCAGAAATCTTGAAGGTGCTACATTTGATTTATAGAATGTGTGTACCCAAATGCGAGACCCAGGTGTAAAAATTCGTTCTTGGAATAAGTGCATGCAGTACTACTATGTCCGAGCGTTTTTAAATGGCATAGTGCAAATATTCAGCAACAAGCGACTAATTAATCTCAAAATATACATTTATTTGAAAATTCATTTTTTTTTATTTGAAAATTCAATTAATCATTATATATATAAATCAAGCGTTACATTTCAGCCATGCAAAATTACAATGACATATTTTGATATACTAAATGATAAATGGTACTGCAATATAAGTTGCTTAATGTTTGGCCGAATGACAACTAACGAGAAAAACAAACTTGATTATATAATAATTAATTCGGCTGAACCAACACATAGCAAGAGCCACATTAACGTTGGGGCCGTCTACCAAATTTGAATGACAAACATTAACAAGAAATCAAACATATCATAAATAATTATAAGGATTTTGTTCATTACAATTCCGTCACAACTGATAAAGAAAAAGAAAAGGACAAGCAGATAGGAAATTGGACGGACAGAATTGTAACCAACAAAAACAAATTTCTGAGACTCATAAGACTGATGAGCTAATCTGGCCAGACTGTATCGGCAGCCCAGAGGTACTTGATCAGTTTGGCCTTAAAAGTAGAAATCCGCTCTGACTGCCGGATACATACTGGTAGACTATTCCATTTCAGCATAGATCTATGAAAAAAGCTATTTCGGAAGGCATCCGAGCAGGGCACAGTGGTACTCATGTAAGTTGAAGTATCCGACATATCAATTATTTGAGCATTGTGCCTAGTGTATCGGGTGCCCTCTGGACGGCATTATTATATATATAAATCAAGGCTCAAGCGTTGCATTTCAGCCACGCAAAATTACAATGACATATTTTGATTTACTAATTGATAAATAGTACAGCAATATAAGTTGCTTATTGTGTGGCCGGATGACAACTACACTAGAAAAATAAACTTGATTATTATATAATAATTAATTATAGCAAGAGCCACATTAACATTGGGGCCGTCTACCAAATTTGAATGACAAACATCAACAAGAAATCAAACATATCATAATGTCAGGTGATTGGTTTACCTAATCACATGATTAGGTGACCCCGTTAACCACCCAGTTGAACATTATGGGAATTGTTAAGGGTGCCCAATTAAGGTGTCGTGTCACAGTGTCACATAATCACCCAGTCAATTTTGTTAACGATCAATTTTGACGATCAATTTTAACGTCAATTTTGTTGTTAGCAAAGCCGCAGTCAAGGTTTGGTGAACGGTAGTTAAAGCACTTAAAACGATTTATGAAGGAGCAACCTTACATTCTACGTCTATTACTCATTTCTCAAGATGTCTACTACATGATGTTGCTCTACCACTTTGCTTATGTCCCTTAAGTGCTTTTAACTACCGTTCACCAAACCTTGAATGCAGCTTTGTTAACAAGGTTTTGCCGGTAGAGGGTCCGCAATAGTCCCATTACCTTAGTATTGCTGTACAACTACTACAAAGAACACATTTCTGGGAACCATATGAAAAGACTGATGAGCAAATCTGGCCTGATATATGACTGTATCGGCAGCCCAGAGGTACTTGATCAGTTAATGCACACTATCGTCTCAACATGCCTTAACCATGCTTGGAGGAAAAATGGATCCCCACCACGTTTCAGGCAATCCACTAAGAGAAATCCGAGACTTTTTTGTCAAGTGAAGTTTTATGCACCGCTTTATACGTCATCAGACAAACATAAAATAAAATGAACAATATGTTGGTGCAGACTATATCTCCTGCGAAAGCACATCCAATTTGATACATATGTCACGGAATGCATTACCATAAACTTCCGAATAGGGCATGCAAATTGCAAACACTGTTCTACTACAAATGAGGAATCACTCAACCTTCTTCTAGAGCTTCCTTTCCCTGATCGATCCAATCATCGAAGACGAGCTTCATGTATTGCGCACTTGCCCTCTCTATGAAGATTTCCGTCACTGATTCAGGTCGGTTTCAACTGTCATTGCATGTCGGAAGCCCTTTTAGAAAAATCTCGAAAATCGTCTTTAAAGTTAAAAGTGATTTAGCGCAGCACGCTTGTTTAATTTTATTTTCATTCTTTTGTATATATATATATAATATACATAGATTTTTTTTGTGATTTTAAGTGATTTTCCGAGAATCAGTTATCAGTATTTAGATATGAGGCAAGATAAAAGTATATTTTTAACGGCTTTCAGTTTCTTTTTTAGATTCCTTTAGATTCCTTTAAATTTCATCAGATTTTCCCACTGCTTTTAGTTTGTATTTATTCTCAATTGTATATGATTCGAATTTGTTATAGTTGCTTTAATGATATAATTTCTCAGAATTTATGTAAATAAATGATGCAAAGACTTACAAAGATCAAATCAAAAATACTTTCTTTTATTATCGAAATTTGTCTAAAAGTGATCAAAAATGTTGAAACCAACCACAAATCAAAATTAATGAACGCTGATATGATTTCGAATCATCCCCATGACATGAGCTCAAAATTAAAATGAGCTCCCCTGGCAAGATATTGGCGTGGCAAAAACTATTTTAATCTTTATCATATATTTTACCAAGACGTGCGCCGCGCCGAGTTGGGCTCGTCGACGGTGAACAAATATTGTTCAAAGTGCACTTTGAACAAAACTGAGCTGTGCACAACATGTGCTAAAATCAGCTAACCATAACGATAAATTAGACCAACACTAGTGAGCAGATCTGGTCTTAATCTTGTATCATCCAACAAACGTTGTAAGAGTATGGCAAATATTAGGAATATCCAAAGTTCATTTCTTCAAGAGCGAATTATTCCTTACTGGAACAAACTCGGTATGTGGTATGACTGTTTTAAGTTTTAAGATTAAATTAAAATGTAGAAGGCCGGGTTTAAGAAAGATATGATTTCTAGATCTTTTGATATTTTGTAGGTTTACAACATACAGCTGCAGGATGCGCGCCGAGTTAATATATATATAAGTTGGACCCGTCACGTCGACGGTCCAATATACGGAACAGATATTTTACGAGTATCACCCGTTAAAGGATATTTCTAATGATTCACATTTTTGCAATGTTTCAAATGAAGTATTAGGGAGAATTGAAGTACTTAACTATGTTAGTAATAAAGAGAATTGTAGCGCAATGCGTTACTGTGCCGCGCCGCGCACTCAATGAGGCTTCTCTCAGCGACATCTCTAGATCGGCGAGATGCACTATTGGCTACTGTGCTGCGCCGAGCTGAGATGTCTAGGGTGGCGGATTTTGTATCGAATTTTCGAATCAAATACCGTTTTAATGTTTATTTAAAATAAATAAGGATGGTGGAAGTCTTTTCTAAAATGGACTTGACCGAACTAAGAGAATGGTTGTCATACGTTGTATGACCCGCCGCGCACGAAGTGCGCGGCTCCCCCTGTATCGTCAGGGGGGTCGCAACGTGATACAAGAGAATGGCTAATAAACAAATCAATAATTGTCGCTGATCCAGTCTATAAGTGAGCCGGTCCATTGCTCCAACGATCCTTTCTAATTGACCTGCCAAGCCTTAGGGGTACGGTGCACCGTTGTTCCTGTGATCATGTACGCAAAATGTATCAACTGAGGTCACGTGATGGAGCCAGGATCCCCTAGCGGCCTTATTACCGGTTAACACATACAACCACGAACGTTCGCGTTTGAATCTTGAGTTAAATGGTTGGTTTACTAAATGTTAAGTATAATATATTCTTCAGCGTACACTCTACACCTAATATAAAGACATCAGCGGGACGTCAGCCTTTCCTGCTATAATTATGCGGAAGATTAATTGCCAGAAAATAGAAAGTTTACAACGAGAAATATTATACAACTTTGATAGATGTTGGTAATAATACTAATAGATATAATTAACTACAAGTAAACGTAAACCTCGACGAAGCAATTGATCATCTCTCGTGAGACTCAAGCGGCATTCTCAAAGCATTCTCGTGGTAATCAAGCGGCATTTTCAAGGCACTCTCGTGGCACTCAAGCGGCATTCTCAAGGCACTCTCGTGGCACTCAAGCGGCATTCTCAAGGTACTCTCGTGCCACTCTCGTGGCGCTCTATCGAAATTCTCAAAGCACTCTCGTGCCACTCAAATGGCATCATCAAGGCACTCTCGTGCCACTCAAGCGCTATTCTCGTGGCACTCATGTGGCACTCTAGCGGCACTATAGCGGCTTCATCAAGGCACTTTCATGGCACTCTCGTGGCACTCTAGTGGCACTCTCGTGACACTTTCGTGACACTCTCATAGCACTCACGTGGCACTCTCGTGGCACTCTAGTGGCACTCTCGTGACACTCTCATAGCACTCTCGTGGCACTCTCGTTGCACTCTCGTGGAAGTCTCGTGGCACTCTCGTGACACTTTCGTGGCACTCTCGTGGCACTCTCGTGGAAATCTGGTGGCACTCTAGTGGCACTCTCGTGCCACTCTCGTGACACTCTCGTGGCACTCTCGTGACACTCTCGTGGCCACAAGAGTTTCTTGAGAATACCGCTTGAGAACCACGAGGGTACTTT